AATGAAAGTAGATACCCACAATTAAAGTGGAGATGGCTTTTTAATAGAGCATTTTATTTGATTAATCTTTAAAGCCATCATACAACATAAGCTTATTGAAAGCACAGCCCCAGTGTCACTATTTCCCTAAGACACTTGGGCACTCACCACCTCTTTCTGACTAGGAAGCATGAACGCCTTTAACAGGTAGTGGATACAGCCTGAATCCCGTTGATGGGAAAGTCCTTCAGTCTTCAAGCTCTAATTAAAAGTGGCACACTTAGGGCTGGAGAAATAGCTCAGGGGTAAAGTCCTTGCCCAGCATGCACAAGGCCCTAGGTTCAATTCCCAAGGCTACAAATGTGGTACATTTGCCAAAATGTTACAGAGTGAATTTCTTTTGACCTATTTGAAAAGACACAATTTATTTTTCAGGATCTTCTTTATTAACCCAATGTAACGCAAAGCAATTCAAGAAGCTTTAATCAAAACACGAATTCTGAACCCATCTCCCTTTGAAGAAAGAATGTGGCTCCTGAAGCCACTTCAAATATTTGAGTTATGGTATGATAAAATTGTAATGCCCCACAAGTGCTCCTTAGTACATTTTTCTATAGTCATTTATTTACACACAAGTCAAGCTTCAGCAACGCATAATAAACACTTCATAAGTTCAACACTAAATCACAATAGACCTGTGGCATAAATGTGTTTGAGGGGTTTCTTCTGGTTTAACAACAACAACAACAAAAAAAAAAAACCCCAAAAACCTGATATGCACATAGGTGGCAGAGCTGAATTCCATGAGGTCTTACAGGCTTATGATTATGTCAAGGACAACACACAGCCCTGTCTACAATCCCAATAGTTAATTCCTCCAATTGGACAATCTATAGCCTCACCTACCCTCCAATGCCTGCACTGTCCCATCAGGGATGTGCAGAGGCTGGTATCTGTCTCCTGGCATAAAACCCTCTCTTTAGCTATCATATCCTCTATGGAGGCCAAGGTTTAATGAAGGTGAAAGCTTTAGTGGCACTAGACAGGCATGGCACACATGTTTGTAATCCCAGCACTTAGGAGGCAGAGGCAAGAGGACTGAAGCAAGTTCCAGGCCAGCCTGGAGTACATAGTGAGTTCTAGGACAGCCAGGTCTATATAGTGAGACTATAATATACTGTCACAGGCCAATGTTTACAAACAAGAAATTATTTAACAAGGTAATGAGATGCACTTTTTAGAGAGAACCAAGTTCCCAATCTCATGCACAGATCAACATGTTTCAGTGAGTATCTGTCCAGTCATGCATTTTATGTCCTTTCCTCCACCCCCTCAAACCACAAAGAAATGAAACCATCACCACAAACAGAAAGTTAAATTATTAAACCATTCAACCTTGATCATGCAAAGAGAGACAAATTAGAAAGCACAAACGAGGATCCACTCAGCCATTCTGTGATGGGAAAACTGAGAATTTCTTTTTCATTCTGAGTCCATCCTGCCCCCTTTTCTCTGCTACACAAGCAATGTACCTCTTTCTTTAAAACCTCTACAATCTATCCTAGAAGGGAGACAAAATAATCAATCATAAACAGCTTGTGTGGCTACCTAATGAAGCAAACAAGCGCTTTTGAGGGCTGATATTAAGAAAGGGGGTTCAGAAGCAGGCGCTGCTGCAAGAGTTGAGAACATGTCTGTTCCACAGTGAGGTAAGCCAAATCAAGAATTTGCTTCATTACATAATACTTCTATTCATCTCCTTCTTCTTCGGCCATTGCTACTTAGTAATTACTGACAGGAGGGAGGAATTAAACATGTTAAACATGGATGCAAAGTTCTGAACAAAGTAAATATTCTTGTTAGGGTGAAGAGATAGTTATTTATTTTTATGTTTTGGTCTTTTTGAGACAGGGTCTCCCTGTAGCCCCAGCTGTCCTGGAACTCACTATGTAGACCAGGCTGGCCTTGAACTCACAGAGATCCGCCTGCCTCTGCCTCCCGAGTGCTGGGATTAAAGGCGCACCACGACTCCTGGCTGGTTATTTTTTACAATGTTACAACAATTGAATTGCTAGCTGGGAGTGGTGGCACAGGAAGGTGGAGACAGGAGAATCAGGGGCCCAAGGTCATCTTCAGCTTAGTGGCAAGTTTAAGACCAGCCTGGCCATACCAGATCCCATCTCAAAAACAGAAAAAAAAAGACAACAACAAAAAAAAACATACCTTAACAACAATTTTAATTACTGAAAAAACATAATTATATAATCCTACCATCTATGTAGAATTTTAAAATGGAAAGAGTCCTTGCAGACCATCTGGTCTCAACTTACAAAAAAGGAAAACTAAACTTTAAGCATAAAATCAAGCAGTTATATAAGGACAAAATTGGGACTTGGATATAATACATTAAGTATTCTCTGATATTTGCACATATATAATAGTTTTCCAGGGTTCAAAACCATGCATAAAAAAATAAGTGGATTGCTGTCTGTAACATAAAACATGTAATATCATTTCGAATTGGATCTTTGTTCCACAAATCACAATCCTGATTCTTTGCCACGTCTGCTTCTAAGAGCTTTAGGCGTGGGAAGATGAAGTGTCAACAGGAAAATGCAAAGGAAAAATGCAAACTAGTTGAGATAATGTAATCAAAAGCAGCAGCTGCTGGGATTAATAGCTACTAAAAAGACAACAGTGGAACTGCTTCCAGAAGGTGCTCCTCCTGCAGAGAAAAACAACATGGGAGCAGTGTAAAATACTAGAATGCATGTTACATAAGACAGCTGACAAAAGTGATCAGAATTCTTGTGGCACAGGATAGTAGGATCTGTATTTTAAAACCAGATGATACCAGAGGGAAAAAACTGGCCTATGGATATTGGTGTCACAGAGACTTAAAGTGTTAAATTGTTTTATTTTGGAGTTCTGAACCCTAACTAGCCTAACTTGGTCCACTGGACCAAAGGAAATGCCCTGGGCAAAACACATCAAGCCTTATTTTGTTCCTGGCCCAAGCGGTCAGACAAGGTGGTTGCCACACAGTCTGCCCAGAGGAGTGAGAGAATATTATGTAATTACTCCCAAGCTCTTGGATGAGATCACAAGTTCTCTCACAAATGTCTGTCACTAAGTAAGCTTTTCCTTTATCCTTTCTACTTTCATTGTAGAGAAATACGGACACCTGCTGAGAAAAGTCTTCCACCTTATACCTAGAAAAAGAGTTATTTCTGTATTTGCCAATTTGTCTGTGACCGGCCCTCACTGCTTAGTCCCAGCATTTTTCTTCGGAGAGAGAGATAAGAGAAATTAAGAAATGGAAACAAAGTACAGAACAATAAATGGTTACTTTAAAATAAAAAAGATTATAGTGAGCATATGAAAAATTCTAAGAATCTGAAAATAAGATTACCACTTCATAATGACCAAAAAACATCAAATCAGATTAAAAGCTGCTCAGCAACCTGACTTCTGATGTCTGTCCAGAGTTTCAAACCTTTATACAGTGGAGCAGAGAAAGAATAGAGGAATTACATCTGTGACACTTTCTGTTTTTAAAGTGGAGGGAGTTATATTTTTTAGGATTTAAACATTGTGATACACATACAATAGCACTAAGAATATGTATTTGAAGCTGGGCATGGTGGAACACGCCTATAATTCCAGCACTTGGGAGGGAGATGAAGGCCAGCCTGAGCTACATGAGACTGAGTCTCCAAAAACAAACAAAAGAAAGTCTAATATATATGACGCTGTTCTGATTAAGGATCCATTTTAGATAAACGGTGTTTCTGATAAAGAGTTATGACAATTTGCTACTGCAATTTTTATCTGTGAATTCTAAACATTATAAGACCAAGACTGTTTGCAATGGGCAAACCGAAAACCTTAATCCTTTTAGGGGATCTGTTCACATGTCAAGGGAAGGCGGTCATTTAAAAATCAACCCCCAATGTTTGTTTTTAACTGGAACATTTCCAGAAAATAAGAACAAGCAGTCCAGATTACCATCATATTCTCAAAAATTTTATGGGGTATTAGTGGCATGCTTCTCAGTTGTAATTTTCATTAAATCATATAAAAAAGAAAACAAAAACTTGTACCATTTGTACCTGGATCACAAATGATTGTTTTAAAATCTGTACTAAAATGATCCAAGTTTTAACTGTTATAGGTCTTGAAAAGTGCTAATGAAAAATTTAGCAACACCTCCATTTAATTTCTACAGGGATCAAATGTTTGCAGCCTAATCAGATGTAGAAAGAGGAAAACTTGTGAGACAATTATATTTACTTGTGAAAGGATAGTATTATAAGTCACTCAAAAAGTGAACACAATAATGACTTCATTCGCTAATGATAAAGATGGGTTTTGTAAAATGAAGGTGAAATTTATAGGGTTAGGGCCAAGTTTCTGACGTTTAGCTTCATGATTTCACTTAATAAGCAGTTCTCACAAGGCCACTGATCAAATTTAAAAGTCAACTATTGGTTATTAAGCGATCATTCACAATAGCAATTACTTTTACCTGGAATATTTGTTTCAATGATAGCATGGGCAGCCAGAACCTATGCCCCTCTCCCCTCAGTCTACAGTTCCCCTCTCCCTTTTCCAGACCCCACGGTGAAGTTCACCTGCCAACACGGAAGGCCGAGGGCAAGGAGGCAAAAGAAAAAGCTTTTACAATTAAGACTCAAGAGTTGCTGGACTCGGTCCAAGTGTTGTTCAGTCTAGAAACGAAAGTAGGAAACAACAGAGGTTTAGGCTTGTTATGATGTCAGCCATTTTAGGCACATTATTTATACTGGGAAGAAAGTGCCAAAGTCGGCGGCGGCTACGCCTGCGGCTGCGGTCCCGGCTGTCGGTACCCCGCACCCACGGGCGGCGAGAGCTCACGGTCCCCTCCGGATCCCCAGGCCCTGCAGCTCTCGCTGCACACGCAGCTTCTCACAAAGAGTGGTGAAAGGCAGGAGCAGGTGGCCCCGGGCCCCCGCGACCCCAGGCGCGACCCCGACTCCCACCTTGCAGTCCACCGCCACGGCATCCGGGGGGATGATGAGCGCCTCCTCGCTGCTCTTGGGCTCGTCCTTCTTGGCCTCCTTCTGGGCCAGGGCCGAGTTGAACGTCACCTTCACCATGGTGCGGCCTGGGGCGCCCTGCGCCGGCGGCGGCGGGCTTGGGGCGCGAGCTGGGGGCTCCCCGCGGCGGTGGCAGCCTGGGCGGCGGGGGTCGGGGCGCGACTCTGCGGCTGAGGAGCAGAGTGCACGGCGGCCGTGGAGGCTCAGTGCAGCTCGGCTCTCAGCCTCACAGCTCGGGCGCGGGCTTGGGGCGGGGCCTCCGCTCGGGGGCGGGGCCTGGGCGGGCTTGGGGGGCGGGCCGGGGCCTGGCCATGGGCCAGGCGAAGGTCCCGCCCCCCCCCGCCCCCAACATCCTTCCCCGGCTCGGTGTAAGGTGCGCCTGGGTGAGGGCCAGCTGCTTCTTCAGGATGCCTAGATTTTCGCGTTCTGAATTTGCTTCCAACTAGTTTACCTCCGGGCTCCAGTGTTGCAGGTTGGTAAGAAAGTGGGGTGAACTTTCCTGGCTAGCTGCATACAGTGACTTAACCAACGCCTGGCAGCACGGAGGTCTCTGCCTTGCAAGTCGCCTGCACTGTGAGCCCAAAGGCCATGGAATTTTCATGTGAGAAAAAGGCTCCGTTTACCATTTAATTAGAAACTCAGTAGAGAACAGGAATATTCAAAGCTCTATGTTCTTGTGATCTGACTTATCTTCCACAGACCTCACCCAAAGGCGTTGCCGGACTGACTAGGCTGGTGTTTTCTTCCTCCCTCGAGAGGTCAATGCCTGCCCTGCCTAGTCCCAAGCCAATAATCAGGAAATTTCTTAGCAGATTTGTATTTCTAACATCTCACATTGGAAAAAAACAAAATGTGCCACTCATGCAGATTTGGAAAAACAAACCAAAAACCATATGCACACTAGGCCAATTTGTGATTTTCTACAATGTATTTATGAGTCCTTATTTTTCTTCAAAATGAAAAATTCCCTTTTTTAGGCTAGCCCAACATTTTTTTCATTTTGAAGAGGTTTCACAACAGACAAAAGAGGACACTGGCCCTCTTTGGGTTTACAGCTATGTCAACAGATGGCCCCTTGAACAAATGGTTGATCCTACACCCTTCTTCCATACCACACTCTCCTGGTTTACAGAATCATGCCTGTGTGCTCTCGAAGGCTCTTGCTGTGTCAGCTCTGCCAGGGTTAACCTTGAAAATAGTTGTTCAGCTTGAGGTTCTTGGGCATTTGGTTCTACTCAAAGAGGGAGCTAAGTATTTTAAAATCTTCCATAGAATTCTGGATCACAGATCCCTGAGAAACAGCCCAAAATGTCCAGATCCTGAGAATATCCTGGACTGAGAAAGAAATCCAGTCCAGACCTTGAGTTTTCTTTGGCATTTTGAAACTCCTGTCAAATTAAATAAGTATTCAAATGGACATGGGGAAAATTGGGCTGCAGTTCTAACAGTTTTCATGGTAGCTAGCAACTCATTTAAATTCCTGGAACTAGTGTCCTTTTTGCACACATCAACCCTGTCTAAACAAAACAAAGAATGGCTTCTAATAACTCACGGTTAACCCCTCCCCGCAACTCCCTAGTTTCATAGATTTCCCAAGACTTTACAACTGAAGACCAAAGAATGCTGGAAGCAAGATCCAGAGAATAAAATTACAGGTTAGTTTAAAGATCTTAATCTTTATTTTTGATTTTAGAATTGAACAGAACTTCATTCCAAGAAGAGGGTGGTTTTATAAATAGAAAAAAGAAGTTAGCAGAAGAAAAAGCTAAAGAAAGCAGACACAAGAAACAAAAAGGGGACTGTCACTTCATTTCAAAGTTACATGTAAAGCAGGACAAGGAAGCAGAGAAACAGAAAAATAACTAATTGATTAATATTAAGTTACTCAGTGGCAAATATGATAATAGTAGATAAAATAATTTCATTGATGGACCTGGGGCAAGGAAGCTGACACATAATTCCCTTCAGAAATGGGGTATAAAGAAAGGGCCTTGAGGCCATGATTGGGTCTCATGGTGGGTGGAGAGAGCATTAGATAGAGAGTGGTACAATATACTAAAATCTCATAACAGGCCTTAAAGGGAAGGAAAGACTTCCCTTTAAAACCCGGAGGGGAATGGCATCAAGAGTGAGAATAAGAGAAATGAGAGAGCCAACTTCTACGGGGGTGTGGGGGGGGGCTCTTGAGAGATCAGCCTGCAAAGTCTTTTAAATCCCTGAGCAAACTCCAAGAACAGAAGAGATGCTGTCAGACTTTTAACTTTGGGGGGGGTGGGATTACTGATGGGAACTTTCACATCATGTGTTTTGGTTCAGCATAGTCTATGTAACAAAGAGCATGGGAGAGCCAGGTACCAGCAGTTAGGCCTGTGAATCTGTGGCACCTGTTAGGTCACAGCACAGACAGCATGGCCTGATCTCTTCAGGCTGTGGGATCTGGGCTTGTAAGAATGACCACTGTTGGGGCTGAGAGATGACTCAGTGGTTAAGAGCCATGACTGTTCTTGCAAAAGACTTGTTTGATTCCCAGCACCTACATGGCAGGTTCATAACTCCAGTTCCAGGGGAATCCAATGCCCTCTTCTGACCTCCACAGTACAACACGGGTGTACTTACATACATGTAGGCAATAGACTCATACACATGAAGAAAATAAAAATAATTAATAAAATATTGTAAAAGAAATAAAAAAGAACACCACTGTCTTTTAGAGGGGCAGGCCCATGTTCCAACCCTGTTTTGTGTAAAGAAAAGGAGGAAAGTTTATTAATAAATCAATTGGAATGGGCTGTTTGGGATATTTAGACTGTTAAAACTCTGATCCTAATTTTTCAAGTCAAATAGTTTCCACTGTGTTGTGGAACTTCACTGTAAATTGATTCCATTTTGATTTTTAGTACCTTTTGGGGGAATCTTAGTTCAAGAGCTTCCCATAACTTTTTAAAGAAACATTTAGTTATTTCTGTCTCGGGAGAGGAAGGCATGCACATGTTGTGGTCTTGTGTGGCAGTCAGAGGCCAACTTTTAGGAATCAGTTCTCTCCCTTTACCATGTAGGATCTAGGATTGAACTCAGGTCATTAGGCTTTGTGGCAAGTGCCTTTACCCCTTGAGCCATCTCACTGGTACCCTAGGACATTTATTTAAACTGTCTGTGTTGGTTACTTCTGACTGTCCACTTGATACAAACTAGAATCACCTGTGAATTATCTAGATCAGATTGGCTTATTGGCATGTCTGTGGGAGATTGTCCTAATTGATGTGGAAGGACCCAGCCTGTTTGGATGGCACCATCCCCTAGGCAAGGGGTCCTAAGCTATGTAGAGGTGAAGAAAGCTAGCTGAGCAGAAGCAAGAAGGCAGGCCGTGTGGTTGCATTCATTTCTCTCGGTTCTTGACTGGGTGTGTCATGTGACTAGCAACTGTGAGTTCCTGCCTCTACTACCCTTCAGTGATGGGCTGGAATTGTAAGGCAGAGAAACACTTTGCTCCCTGCGTTGTTTTTCAGAAGGTATTTTATCACAGCAACAAAAATGAAACTAGACCACCTTTGTAGTTCTTTATGTTAGGATGAAATAATAGAAAAGTACCCAAAGTATTTGACAATAGGTAGAATTAGAGGGGGGGAGAAAAAACAAAATTATTTTTAAACAACACTATTACATTTAGGAAACTGAGGCAATGGAAGAACCAATGAGATTGACAGAACCAAAGATCCTCCTCCACTCCAGGACTTTTATTTGAAAGGATCTGTGAATAAAAAAAACATTATTTTGTGTAGTAGCAGAGAACAACAGCAAAATGAGTTGGTGGACAGTCTGGAAATAATCTCCTAGTTTTGCTTCTCTGTTTTATCTGGTGTGTCTACAGAGCTGTGTATTGCATGACAACAGGGATAATGAAGACGCTGGCCCAAGACTAAACACAGCAAACCCAGTCTCGTGATTTAGAAGAGTTTGCTTGTTGACCCTATAAACTAAGGGGCCAGGGAGGAGGAGAGGCAGTGACTTAACAGAAAGTTAAAAACATAGCCGTAAGTTAACTTTAACTACCAAATGTAAAGAAGAGTTTGTAGAACTTTGTTTTCCTTTTCTGTGTGAATCTGTTTTTAAAGTGACACTAGCTTTACCTTTTACCAGGATCCAAGTTTGTTTTTTCTAGTTAACTGGGGAGGAGAAAATTGAGAACTAAAGTCTAGAATCATAGTTCATTTAGATTTGTGTGGGGGAAGATTTTTTTTTAAGGTTTTTTCCATTTGTAATCCCTCTGTTCTTTCTCAAGAAAGCAATTTCCTCTTCTTCAGAGAAACTCTGAAGTTTGGCAGAATGATTGGAAAGCATCTTTTGCAAACATAGGAACTTTGGTGAGACATCATTGAATATACCCTTTGGAATGTGTTCGTGGCACCTCCCCTCCTGCCCCATGTGTGGCTTTAGCCAGGCTGCTTGTGACCGTCTAAACTTTCAAAGGGAAGTACCTCTTCTAGGTTACCCAAACACTTAGAGACTTCAGCATTGCTTTTGTCTCTATAACTTTAGGTGTTCTTTATTGCTCATAAATTTCTTACCTCCCAAGGTTATATCTATTATCCACTTCCTGAATGCTTTTTAAGATTTGATACTAGTTTTTTACTATTGTTACTGCTTTTTTTTTTTTTTTTTTTTTTTTTTTTTTTTTAGTGTTTGGGGTCTCACTCTGTAGTTTAGGCTGTTCTGGAACTCACTATGTAGCCCAGGCTGACCTCAAACCCATGGCAATCCTCCTACCTCAGCCTTCCAACTGTTTGTATTATAGACATGAGCCACCATACCTGACTAATACATCTTTTGTTTTGAGACGGCCTTTCTACGTAGCTTAGACTGGTCTTGAGTTCCTGATCCTTCTGCCTTCTCTTCCATGGTAACATGCACCACCATGCCTGGCTTCTATCAGTTATTTTAACTTAAAACAATTTATTATGGGGCCTGGAGAGATGGCTCAGTGGTTAAGAGCACATATTGCTGTTGCAGAGGACCTGACTTCTCCTCCCAGCACACACATCATGTGACTCAAAACTCCAGCTCCAGGGGATCTGACACCCTCTTCTGCCCTCCATGGGTATCTGCATTCATTTGCACAGATGTATACACATACACATACTTAAAAATAAATAAATAAAATAATAATTTATCATTATTTTCTACAATGAACTGGCTAAATTTCTTTTTCTTTTGTTACTGGGACTTTTAGAGCAAAACCTGAGCCTTTGGATGTACCAAAAAGTAAGACTTGGCCACCTGTCCCAATGTTCCAACTGAAGAGATGAGGCGTGGCGAAAAGAGGAAGAGGAAAAGTAATCATTGTGGCTATACTAAAGAGAGGAGCAGATAAAGGGATCCAGTGATCCCCAAGTCTATCTTTGGGGTACTGACATGAACTGTAGGTTTAATAGAGGAAGAATTAGAACACAGGATATGCCATACGCACAACTAAGTCCCACTGGTCAAATGTAGTCATGCCGACATTGCCTTGGTTCCAGTTCTGCAAGGTGGTCCACAAAGGTACTTGAGAGGGGACAAGGTGGTTCAAGGTAAGTGTCTGTGAGGTTTTGTTCTTCTTAGACTCCCACGTGACTGTAAATTTAAGACAACAACTTGCCTCAGTGCCTTAAACCTTGAAGGAGGGTGAGTAAAGGAAGCAGAAGCCAGGCTTTCGTTTTCATGCTGGTTTGTTTTGTTTTGTTTTTAAAGATAAGGTCTAATGTAGCCCAGGCTGACCTTGAACTTGCTATGTAGCCAAGAATGAGTTTGAACCTCCTGAACCTCTTGCCTCTACCTCCCAAGAGCTTGGGGTTATAGGTGTGTACCACCATACCAGTTTTATTTGGTGATGGTGGTCGAATCCAGGGTTGAGTGCATGCTAGTGCATGCTAGACAAGCTCTTTACCAACTGAGATATACCCCAGCTTCAATTCTGTTTTCAGTGATCTTTGAACCCAAGTGATGAGCTTTCTTTTTTCTGTTAGCAGAAGCAACAAGCACTGACACTCATTCACTGTCTTGGGATGGAGAGCAAAAGGGGGTCCTGAGGGATTAAGGTCAGATGCTCAAGTCACAAGAGTATATGGTTCAGTGAGTTTGTTTGCATTATAAACAGTAGCTTTTTGGTGCAAGGTTAAATAAAAGCCATTAGTCCAGATTCTGTCCATATTGTAAAAGTTATCCCTATAAGAACCTATTCAGAAGACCTGGAGCTTTTTGAGTATCTTGCTGAGATGTCAGCATCCTTTGTATCTTCATGGGTAACACACTTGGCTATCTGTGTATGTACAGGAGTTTGATTTCAGGGAACTCCCTCCTCCATAGATAAAAAAATCCTTGGATGTTCAAGTCCCTTATATAAACTGGTATAATATTTGCATACAATCTCTGCACGTCTTTCTGTTCTCAGCTAAATTGCAAGTTTAAGTCATCTCTAGATTACTTACAATACCTAATGTATGTAAATAGCATGAAAGTAGTCATTATGCCATATAACCGGTTAAGCAATAATGGTAGAAAGAAAATGCTTATGCATGATCAGTAGAGAGGCAGCTTTTTGTCTTTAATATTTTCAATCTGCCATTGATTGAATCTGCAGACAGGGATGTGGAGGGCTGATTAAATGCTACAAACCTACTGTCCATAGTATGATAATGGAATCTAGAGAGAACTACAGTAGTCTAGCAAGGCTTCTTAGAAAAGACAGGATTTTAGTTAAAGGAATTGAAAAGATCCGGATGAAGACAAAGGCAGAAGAAAAGCATCTGGAGTAGAAGGAAGAACACAAGGGAGGGCACCAAGACCAAAAGAAAGGACAAAGGCAGGAGCCAGGAAGCCTAAGCAGGCAGTGCATCTGTTGAGTAACTGTAGGAAGCATGGCTGGTGGGGAGCTGGAGCCACTGGTCTGTATGTTACATGTGTCAGGCTCCTTTACTATAACAAAATCCCTGAGATAATCTGTTTATTTAAAAAAGGACTATGGTTGCGGGGGGGGGGAAGTTTCTGTCCATAGTTAGCTGGCCCTGTTGCTCTTGAGCCTGTGGTGAGGTAGCATATCATAGCAGGAACATGTGGCTGAGAAATCTGCTCACTTCACTTCTGGGCACCTGGGAAGCCAAGAGGGAGAGAAAGAGACTGGGCTTCTAAAATTCCTTCAAGGCCATGTCTGTCTGTGTGTGTCCTATGACCCAAAACCTTCCACTAGGCCCTGCCTTTCAGAGGTTCCACCAATTCCCCATTGTACTTTTATCAGTAGAACATACAGCAATATACACTGTTTCCTGGAAATATTTTTAGTGATCTAACTTGTAAATAACTGAAACTTAATTTGTCTAGAACCTTTCTGGGTATGATTGACATAGTCAAACCATGGTATGCTACATCCCTAACATTTTTGTATATATTTTGCATATGTCTTTGCATACTTAATGACATGCAAAGTGCATATGTTATTTAAATCAAAATAGAAAAACGGTTCTAGGCAGAGAATTAAAAAAAAAAAAACAAAAACAAAACCCAGCTGGCTTGGGAAACAGAAATTTCGGAAGACCATAAATTTGGAATCTCATGTTCTCAATCTTAATAGCCAGAGGACACTTTTTGTATTCAAACAATGTTCTAGCCAATAGAATCAAAATACTGGAAAAAACTTTAAGACGCCTCTGATAGTTCTTTTGCATAGTTCAAGAAAAGGTTATACTCCAAAGCTATGGGAAAGTCATGCTTTTTAAGGAAGACTTTTTTTTAAAGCCATGCAAAATTGTTTCTGATATCATCATTTTTAACAAAATTATTCAAAAATCAGAGGAAAAACTGAGCTACTTTGGTTTCCTGCAGAACCGTGGACAATCGCAGCTATACATGGACGACAGGAACCTAAGTTATCCTTCCAACATGGACTTGTACAACACATTTCATCTGGTAATAGTTCTTAAGCAAAAAAGACATTCATAAAGCAATGTAATCAAGGGATAAAAATAGTTAAGAGCTTTGTTTTATTCTTAGTTCTCATAGCTACTGAGTGGTAATCCAACCCAGGTACCATCTCCGAAGGCTGTTTCCTGTCAACTCTGACCATTTCCCAGAGCAGTATAGATGTCTGTCTGAACCATCCCCTGTATTCCCAGATACTAGAGGACTAGATACCAATTCTTGAGGTTGTTTCCTGTGCAGTTGGTATCCTTTTCAGAAAGTACTTGCCAATGCTTGTGTCTTAAACTGTTTTGCCTATCATTTCTTGTAGCAATTTCAAAGTTTCTTTCATTAAGGTCTTTGATCCATATTGTGTTGATTTTTTTGTCCAGGGGAGAAATAAAGATCTAACTTGACTCTTTTACATATGGAAATCACTTCTCTCAGGACTGTTTGTTAAAGTAGCTGTCTTCTCAACAATGTATGTTTCTCACAGCTTTGTGAAAAATGAGGTGGTTATGGCCATTGGTTTATTTCTGGGACTTCTATTCCCTCGGTCTGCATATTGTTTTTCATACCAGCCTCATGCTGTTTTTGTTACATTTGCTCTGTAATAGGACTTAACATCAGGTGTTGTAATAAATCCAGCATTGCTCTTTCTGCCGAGGCTGGTTTCAACTACTCATGACCTTTTGTGTTTCCATGTGAATTTTAGGATTTTTTTTCCTAGTTATGTGATTACTCTTTTCTATTTATGTGGAGAATGTCATAAAGATGTTGATGGGGATTGCATTGAATATGTATGTTGCTTTCAGTAACACAGCCATTAACACAATATTAATTATGCTTATCCATGAGCATGAGACATCTTTTCATCTCCTTGTGTCTTCTTCGAATGTTGTTTTTCAGTGTCTCGAAAGTTTACCCTATAGTGGTCATTCACCTCCTTGGTTAAGTTTATTGCTAGGTATTTTCATTGTGTGTGTGTGTGTGTGTTCACATGTGCAGGTGCCTATATGTACATTTGTGTATGGAGGCCAAAGGACACCTTTAGGTGTCTTTCCTTAGGCACCATTCACCTTCCTTTATGTGTGTGTGTGTGTGTGTGTGTGTTTGTGGGCATGGACATGCCATGACATGTGTGGAGGTCAGAAGAGGATGTCAAGTGGCAGTCCTTGCCTTCCACAATTGTTTGAGGCAGGGTCTATTTGTGGTTTGCTCCTGCATGCCTTGCTCCAGGATAGCTGGTCCATGAGCTTCCAAGGATTCTCCTGTCTCCACCTCCATCTTGTCTTAGAAACACTGAGGTCATAGACACACACTACTGTACCCAGTTTTACTGGAATTAAATTACTGCTTCTTGGAATTAGAACTTGGGTCCTCATGCTTTCATGAACTGAATTCATCTCTTTCAAGTTATTGATCATTTTTTTACCAGTAAGCTTCTAAAATCTTCATCCAACATTTGCTCGTTCAGTAGCTTTGAGTTCAATAGTTGAGGAGTTAGGGTCTTTTGGAGGAGTTATGTCACCTTGCTTTCTTGTGGGAGACAGGCTTGAGTCTAGGGTGATATTGCAACTGTCAGGGTCACATGGTTTCCAGGAATCCAGGCTCTGTAATCTGAAACCCAGTATGCTAATGAGGCATCCTATCCTCTATTCTGTGATAGGACGTTAAGTCTGTTATGCTAATAGGATGCTAAGTCTGTTATGCTAATAAGGTATCCTACTTGCTGTACTGTGATAGGACACTAAACCTGTTATGCTAATAAGGTATCCTACTTGCTGTGCTGTGGACCACTACCCCTATATAAGCTTGTGCCTTCCTGCAATAAACCAGAACTGCATCACTGAACCTGGTCTCCTGTGTCTGAATGCAGCTCCGCTGACACAGTCTCCTCACCAGCCCTGGGGTCCGGGACCGGGCAGAAGCAGCGATGACAGGAGGCAGCACAGGGCAAGCAGAAGAGCTGCCTCAGCACCAGGCGAGCAGAAGAGCAGCCTCAGCCCAGGGCGAGTGGAGGAGCAGCCTCAACGCCCATGAGAACGAAGGAACAGCACCCTCGAGAACGGAGGAGCGGCCGCCGCTGGTGGTGACCACACTTTCTTATGTTTCTTATATTCTTTAAAGACTTATCTATTTATATTTTATGTATAGGAGTGTTTTGTCTGCATGTATGTAAGTGCACCATGTGCATTCTTGCCTGCAGAGGCCAGAAGAAGGAGTTACAGCCAGTTATGAATGGCCAGCTGGGTGCTGGGAACTGAACCCAGGTCCTCTATAAGACTATTAAGTGCTCTTAATTGCTGAGCCATCTCTCCAGCTCCCCTCCCTCTTTGAGACAGGGTCTTATGTAGCCAAGGCTGACCTTAAACTCCTAATACCCCTGCCTCCAACTTCCTAAGTACTGGTACTATAGGTATGTATCATATCCAGTTTTATGAGTGATGTGGATAGAACTCAGGGCTTTGCATATTCTAAGTAAGCATTCTACTGAGATATATCCCCAGTCCCACATTCTATTTTTAAATGTTGTCAAAAATTAAAAAGTTTTGCTGTCTGCTGTGTTGTCAGCACCCCCAGCCATTCCCCACTACTTGCCCTTCTGGTGAATCTAGTCAGCCTATCTAGAGGTCTTTGTTTTAGGAGGGTCAGCTGTTTCTCATCTAGTGGTAATCAGTTGTCAATATTCCTTTGGATAAGATTGGGGTCTGCTGTTCATTTTCCCAGTTCTATGCTGGGTTACTATCTGTTTGAGTTTGCATGGGACTTGTGTGTGCTGACAGCATTGCTGGAGATTCATATGAGCAGGGTTCCAGGAGCTTGTAGGACTCTGTTTCCATATGGTCATGCACCTCCTCCATGGCTCTTACAGTCTTTCCACCCTATTTTTCCACAGTGGTCCTTGAGCCCTGGGTAGGTGGGTAGACCTCAATATATGAGCCCTGTTCAAGGACCCACACTCTGCAGATTCTTATTCTCTGCGTTTTGGCCATTTGTGGCCTTTTGTGTTCCTGATCCTCTGTTGCATGAGGGAGCTTCATTGATGCGACCTGAAAGAGATGCAATAGTATTCTCTTCATCTCCTGTTCTGTGTTCTGTGAGTCTTACTGTAAAGGTTACATCCTGGATGTGGCACTTAGGCTTGAGCAACTCACAGAGAATCTCATGTGTGACCAGTGGTGTAACTCTGTAATAATCTGTGTCTTGAAAAAGAAGCTACTTTGATGGGTGGTGACTGGGATACCTGTCTGTAAATTTAAGGATCCATATTTTGTACATAGTAAGGTATAAGGGCTCTAGTCGGGGGAGGGAGGCTATGGGAGGGTGTGACCTGGGAAGTGGGTGTATAAATAAATTAAAAAAAAATTCTTCAAAGTATAAAAATTTGCTCCTTAATAATTAGTAGATGTGAAAAACAGTACCATTGAAATCTACCTGATGACTTTATATCCATGCTCAGATGTGAAGGAGCTCAGAAAGTAACCAACATCAGATATTTAGAGATTAGAAATGCATGTGCAAACATCCAATGTCAATTGCATTGAAAAAGAATTTTTCTATATGAAACTGTGTATTTTAATAATGAAATGGAGATCTTTTTTAAAGGTTAAAACCTCATTTAATTTTATGTCCTATAGGGTTTATACTGAGTACAATATTGTATAAGTGTAATAATTCAACTGTAAACCTAAAAATTTACAGCCAATTTTGAAAGAGATGCATCCTACCTCAGGAAACCATTATTGAATATGTCAATTGTGTTGTAATGATATGCTTCTTCTAAGTATGTTATTATTAAATAAATAATTTTTAAAAAATTAAAGTTTTTTCATTACATTTATTTATTCATTGTATGTATATGTATGTGTGTGTGTGTGTGTGTGTGTGTGTGTGTAGCACACATGCACATATGTGGAGATTGGAGGGTAACTTGTGGGAATCGGTTCTCTCCTATCATATGAGTCCCAGGGATCAAACTCAAGTCTCCAGTCTTGGCAGCAAGAGCGTTTACTTTCTGAGCCATCTTGCTGGCCCTAAATGAATTTTTTAAGTTAGCAAAGTAATGAGTTTCATAATGCCACTTTCATATGTATTTTGTTCTCGTTTATCCCCTTTCCTATTGCCCTGCCTTCTCTTGTCCCTCTGTGTCCTCTTGCTTGTCCCCTTTCTCCCATCCAATGGCTGTTCTTCTGCATTAGTCACATGTATTCCATTACCCTCCTCTCTCCTTCTGTCTAGTTTCATGCCATATGAATATATGTATATATATATGCTGTGTAGACAAACACAGATTTAAATCTGTGTTTTGCACAGAGAATAAGTGACTGTGAGGCGCCCATCTCTAAGTGACCCATCTACAATGTAACCTGTACATGGAAGGCTCAGCGAATATCACAGAAGAGGGAGTAGAAAGATTGTTAAGAACAAGAGGGACAAGACACCTGCTGCTAGTTAATGTATTCTAAATATGATATGGAAACTACACCCATGAAATGTACACAGTATGGTAATCTAACAAGGTCTGCATAATGACAAAACCAGTAAACAGGCCAGGGTGGGTGGAGGAAATTTCACAGTGTCTTACCTGAAGATGAAGAGCTCCAGGCAATCAATTGATGCTGAGGAGGAAGAACAAGTTTTCTCCAGGGACTAGCTTTCTGAGAGAGGTTATCTAATCCTAAGTGGGTAGGCCTAAACACAGATACACAGGAGCAGCACTGAATGGATGGTGCAGTCTCTCTCTCTCTCTCTCTCTCTCTCTCTCTCTCTGTATATTTATAAATTTATGAATGAATATATAACAATAATCATCAAAGAAGAGGACAAGAAATTGAGAGGGAGTAGTAGGGACATGGAGAAGTCAGAGGGGCATGGGGGGGCAGGGATGGAAACAATGCAGATACAATACCCATGTATGAAATTCTCAAAAAGAAAATTAAAAATAAATCGAATTCTGTATGTGAGAGAAAACACGCAGTATTGTCTTTTTGAATCTGTCTCATTTTAATTTCCAGTTGCACCAATTTTTCTATGTTTTAAAAATCTTAAGCATATATTTTGATATCAAAGAGAAGACTATAAAAATATATTCTCTCTTTAGTGAAGTGATAGCTGCAGGCCACACTGGGAGGTTATAATGGAAGTTGCTCCAGGTGAGATGAAAGTCAAAGAAATGAGCTGTGTTGTGGGACCTATGCCAGGGACTAAACGATAAATTAAAGAAAAGGGTTTGAACTGAATCTGTGGTATACTCCTATAATCCCAGCACTTGGGAGGCCAGGAAGAATGTCATGAGTTCCAGCCCAGCCTGCGCTACAATGTGAGCCTCTGTCTCAAGAAAACAAAACAAACAGAGGTATATTTGCCTGCTCTCCCTATTACAGATTGCTTCCTGCGGTGCACTCAGATCTGACAGAACTATTTCATTTCCACATCTGCATGTGTCCCAGCCCAGTTTAACCCAACCGCAAAAGAATATGGAAAATGGGAACAAGCCCTCCAAAGCAAGAGGAATCTGCATGGACTTTTACCTTGAATCCGAAATAATCAACTCCCCTGTGCTTGGAATCATTGAGTAATGATGAGGACTCATACATAGGAAACAAAAGGCCTGTACTCTGAATCAGAAAGCATCCAAAGAAACTGGTTCTATATAATCTCTCATCTAGCTTTCCTCTGGCCTATTTTAAGAAAAAGGGGAGAAGGTTTGATTTATTAAAGTTCCAGGGAGCCAACATACAAATATTTATACAAAAGCTCCTTCACATTAAAAAAAATCCTTAAGGATGTTTTAGACAGCTCAGAGTCAGGATATACTTTTTGAAGATGAGAGGAAATTCATTCCTGTTAAATGGCAAAACACAGAAGTTTCTCCTTAGAATATTCATGGTTGGAATGATCACACTGCATAAAAAGCCTATTAATTTCAACCTAAAGTAAGTATGTGACCTAAATCAGAAATAGCGTGTTTAACTGCCATTTGCTTTAAGAGACCACACAGAGAGAAAAAGACATCAAGAAAATTTATAGTTGATATGGTAGTTCAGGACTGTCATCCCAGCACCTGGGTTACTGAGGCAGGAGGATTGCTATGAGCTCAAGTCCAGTCCTAGTTGCATAGTGACAATCACAAAGGAAATTGTTTACTAAGGAAAGCAGCAAAGGAATAAAAACCAGTCGATACCAGAACCACCTTCTTCCCCCTTCTGTGTACTTAGTTCAGGGCTATTTTTCCCAAGGCACAGAAAGATTACAAACAGGCATGGTGGCATACATATAAAATTCCAGGCCAGCCTGGCCTTCATGAGATCCTTTCTTAAAATACTAAAAAGAAAAGAGAAAAAAGAAAGATGAACAAACACACATTCCCTGAAAAAAAAATTTCACAGAAGTCAACCTCTACTCAACAGAAAAAAAAAAAAAAAAGATGTTAATAAAGCAACATGTATTCAGGAAGTTTCCCAACACAGTTCAGTCTCAGTTAAAAAGCCACATGCATTACTGAACAGGAAGCAATACCCCAGGGTGACTGTGCACTACTATCAGGAAGAGAACAGTTCTGTTTTACTCTTTTAGTGCCACTGTGAGTCACACTGTTGATGGAACATGCTACTCCATATATACCTTAACTAGTTTTTCCTTTTTTTGTTTTTACTTTTCAAATTTTGGTGCTGTGGCTGGGGAATGTAACTCAGTAGAGTGCTTGTCTAACACGAGCAAAGTTCTGGGTTCAATTTTACATGATGCAGACATATAATCCTAGCACTGGGAAGGTAGAGACAGGAGGATCAGAAGTCCAAGGTTGTTCTCAGTTACATAGTCATTTATTTCTGAAAGTGAGTTAATTACATTTTGCAAGGACATAGATGATACTTTGGAGGCAAAGTAAAACCCTGTATTATAGTCATTATCAA